GTTTGACCTTGAAATAAAGGTCAAAGGTCAAATCCAAGGGCATATTTGAAATCTACACATATGACTTTTGGAAAGCTGTCTGTAGAAATTTTTCCCATAACTCCTTCCGTAGGGTAGATAATTAGCATTTAATTTTGCCATTTTTAGACAAGGGTGCATTGCAATGAGTGCCACACCTAGACCCCAATACCGACAAAGCCCAAATTTTACGTGGAACGAGTTGAGATTATAGGTGACCTAAATCCAAGAGATGGGTACAGGGGCCCTTACCGTCTAGGAGGAGAAGCGGTAACAGTGACTTGGCGGCGGAGCCGGCGGAGCCGCAGGAGCCGCAGGAGCCGGCGGAGCCGGCGGAACATACGGGTCGGGACTAAAACCATGGGTACCGCCAGCGCCTACGCTGGTGGTACAATAATATTCAAAAGAAGATATTGTAACAAACCTCTTGCTTGAATCCCTTGAACATCCAGACCTTTACCCTCGAGAAACGCCAGACATTTCTGCAGATTTTCCACTTTCTGTGCTCTTATGATTGGCTTGGTCTGGATCCCTTCAACTTTTGCTGCACCTGAATAAGAGAACATGGCCATGTCACAGGTAAAGATAAGACAGAGACTAACAGCTGACAATACACACATGAGTTAGAATCTAGAGTAAGGACAGTATGCGACAGCATTACGTACACTTTGTACGCTCAAAACCTTGTGTAAATTTTTCCATGCTTCATCATCTTAATTTCAAAATAATTGGCTGTGTTCCTGTTGGCATGAATATTCATTTAAGCAACTGTTCCTAACCACATGCTGTATAATTAACATGTTAGATGAGAATTAACACATTGCATGTTCAGACATAGACAAATTTCTAACCGAGTTCTGTCAATCTCCAAAGGCTGTCTGTTTATCATAAGCTCAGGCCTTTTTTCCCATCAAGCAGAATACTTTAGCTATACAGCTCTGCTGGTACATGTAGGGGGCATTCAGATTCAGACAAGGTACCAGCTGGATAGATCTAGCTCAGCTGGGATTCTCAATAAAGGGTTAATTACGCCAAGTGCACACCAGAGTTAATTACCCCCAAGTTGCTCCAGGGGGCGTGTCAGACAATTAAGCTTAATATTGTTACTTTGACTGTACTTCAGCCAGAATTCCTGAGTTGAGTTGAATAGATCTAGCTGGTACCATGACTAAGTCTGAATACTCCCTTAGAGGGACTGACAACTTAATAGCCTGTCTCTTAGGCCGCATTTAGAACAGTGGCCTAAAGAGTCCACGTCAAATATTATAAGTTTAAAAGAAGTCATCAGGTGATTTAATACAGTTTCACCAAGAATCCTTAGCTGTCAGATTCTAAGCAGGTTATCGCTATAATACAGAAAATGGTCTAATAGCTAAGAGATCCCACTGTGCTTCAGATATGTAAATCCTTGATTAATGTATTTAATTCGATTTTCTGCTGATATAATAGACATTAAAAATTATACTAGTAGGTATGCACCTTATGCACCACCTGACTCTGTTGAGTTCAGATTCCATATGTTATGGATCGCAATGATGCATTAACATTATGTAACAGATTCAGTCATTATAGAGTCATATTGTGCATAAATCAAAGTCTGTTCGAGTTTTTTAAAAATATTTTTTTCAACAGTTACTCTGCCTCATTTTCTGTCCCCATAACTATGTGGACTTGATAACAAGGAAACATTAATTAGATTTAACTGTTGCCAATTGAATTCTAATTTAGTTCACTGCAGGGGACCAACACATTCACAATTAGCAATTCTTACCTTTAACTACACATGGGTCTCATATCAGCTGTCTCAGCTGGAAATGTGGTGTTACCAAGAGTCCATGTTATTTACTGTATATTGTGCAATAATGATATCTAACACAAAAATTACAGGAATATACTTCGAAACAACCTCTTAAGTTCTATTTAAGTTTTAAATATCTCTTAAATTGTCCAGGCCCAGTAACTGATTTGAAGTACCAGCAGAAGTGAAACAAGATTTACTTTTCAGACGCATTAAAAAGTCCAAGTCCGCTGTGAACTTGCCGCACAACAACTGAGAGAAAAAAATATGGAGTAACTTTCAAGGTGATCCTTACTGAAAAGTTTAACTCTGGTTCAACACAAGCATATACTATAGTCAAAGTGAATGCAGCCCTGAATGAATATGAAAAGCAAATACTCCAGCTGTGGTATGAATTCAGCTCATCTATCGATCACTCCACTCTACCCACAATCTGCAGAACTAACATTTCCTTTACCTTTTATGTGCTAAGTACATGGCATATATTTGTATTCTTTCATCTCAGTAACTTTCACTGAAAGCATACCTAGGTTTAATACATGTAGGCTTTGAAAGTAGGTTTTGAGGGACATTTTATAGGGTCCACATTAAGGAATTATTAAGCCATACTGTATGTTTTGATCATTTATTTATGTTACACGCAAACATCTATATTTTACATTTTTTGGTTTTTAAATTTTCTAGTAATAAATGTATGCATGTTCCCTAACTTCACTGTGTTTAGAATACAAGGCCCCTACTTATATTGATTTTCCTAATTGACATAATGACCCAAACAGTGCAGATATATTACAGTTGATACTTAACTGTATCCCTAAAGTAAACACCTGAGCAAATATATCAATGTAATATCATAAAATTTACGTAACTACATCTCATGGGACATCATTAATTCAAAAAGGTCAATTAAGTTAATGCTTCAATATAAGTTAGATCTTAGTATGTATAATTTTTCATCATTAAGGGGTGATATTTTCCAGTCAAAACAACAATTACTTCTGACATTTGTTATTTTTAGTAATCAATAAAATACACATTTACACAATAAGCTCTGATAATTCCCATTAATATTGGGTAATTAGGTATGAAATGTTAAGGCCAGACATGCTTTCAACTCCTGTTGTTTCTTCATGTAATTTCTCCGAAATTGTGGGAATATTCCAGGCATTAATTCTAAGAAGTCCACGGAGGTTTTGTCCCTCCCATCAAAGTTAATCATGCAATATTAAATGCTTTCATGCGCAAGTACTGCACTTTGAACCAGCTGTTTTAATTGTAAAACATTTACTAGTAACATGAAAATTCATCTTTTCTTTTAGTGAAACCTGTGTCACCATCAACTGGATATGTGTCAATTGCTAATAATGTATTAATTTGAACATCTAACACAGAGTTACCCTTATGTTGAATTCAGTAAATAGAATTATTATCAAGCATCTGCCCCTATCATGCACAGCCAAACTATGATCAGTACATGATCCTTAATTAATTATCAAATGGCTTCCAAATTCTTCACACTTTTAATTTAAGCTACAATTTAAATGTTTTAACTATATCATTTTCAATTATATCTACAAGGAACCTACCTTATTTAACAGGACAAATCACACAGCAACTGCATTGGGCGTCAGCAAAGTTTTACTGGTCAGTTTACAGTTACGCAGCATGGGAAAAATCCTGACTGATGAATGAACATTCTCAAATATTTAAGGTTAAATTCCGTGTTGTGTGTCCAGGTTGGGGAAGGGTGAGAGGGTCATTGGAGTGGCTGTTGTGAACAGCACTGGGAGTCCCCATCAAAGTGAAGCAGGCACAGCTTATAACAAGGCATGAAAGCTCCATAGATTTCACGCCAATTTGCTCCTGAAAGCAGCCCCCTCGTGTAAAAAGCAGAGTGTGGGCTGTGTTGTTTGTACACACCAAGGAAACTCCACAATGGAAACCCAAAGGGATATTTTCTTACAGACCTCACTCTGTTAAAAACCTTGCTTCCATAATTTCATACCCTAATCAATATTATTGTATCAACACTGTTGTTAATTATTGTTGTTGTTCCCTGGTCAGACTGAGTGGACTGACCGGTCTTTGTCACCCAGAGATGTGTCCATACCAGGATGAACATAAGACTAAAAGGGGCCTTATACTTGTCCTCAGACAACATGGTTGATTATCCATCAATTTTGATGTCTGAAATATTATGGGGTCTTCCAACCCAGGGGGCTGGATGGCACAAGACAAAGTCTTGATTTGTTGATCAATGAAGATAATTGACATGGGGTACATTTTTGCCTCATTTCCATTTTAAATTGGAACTTGTCTGAACTGACCATTAGTGCCCTGTGAGGGGCTTGGAGCTGTCAAAACTCAGTATAGAAGCATTCAGAATGGTCACAGTGCAACAGGAGATGACCAATTGCTATAGCCTAGCTGCACCATAATAATAAAAATAATCATGATCAAATATTATTGACTTAAACTCTAAATTCATGCTTCAATTTTCTTGATTAAATATTGAATTCAAAAGTATTTGAAAATGTCTGTGTGAAAATTCAAAAGTGTTCAGAAAATCCATACCTGTACAACAATTTTACCAGTATGTTAAATGCAGAAATGGTAAAATATCCATTCAACAAGGCTTTAATTTTTTTTTTTCATTTCCTACCATCTGTGTTTAATTTTTGCCTTTCATCTAAACTATAAAAACATATGCCTTATTAAAGCATACCACTAACCCCCTCCTGCTGCCAAATCTAAATGCAATCTTTCCTATCAGCCTCCTGTCAACTGTGTGCCAATAAGGAATGTCAATATGTTCTCAGCAATCAATTGACAAAAATACTACTCTGGTGACAGAAATAGGACTGCAGCTAGGGGTAGACCAGATAACCCTTTTCAAATTATCTTGTCGAGGAGAGACAATCGCATCTTTTCTGACTTTTTTATAATTAATAAACAATTACACAGCTGAGTATATAAACAATTAATCAATTTTGTATAATGTGTTTGAAATTACCACCAACTACAACACTTAAACAAGAAAACTTCACAGCTCGGTAAATTTTGTCACTATAATAACTTACCTAGTAAGCAGACATCTACAGTGTAGCAGGTACTGATTCAACATGAATTTATGAATCCATCTCTAATACTCTCCTAAATAACTTACTACAAGTACTGTATCTAATACGTACCCCAGTATTCACATTTACTTCCAGCCCAAAGAGTCAGGCAGTTGGACAAGTCACTCTACCTTCAAGTTCCTTTAGCTTATAGCATAACACACCATCTAATCCAATGTTGACTGTTATTCTCCCCTTACATATTCAGGATTAACAGGTTCCTGAACTAGTGTCATTTGATCCTCTATACATGAATTGTCACAAAAAGGTACGGAGGCTCAAATCATGGACAAGAACCCCTTTAATAAATATTTGTTAATTTGTGGTTGTATTTTTGCTTAAAGACTAGTAAATATGTTTACAGTTATACCCAAGGCCAAATTATTCAACCTTTCTGATACCAATACCTGACAGCCTCATGTGTGTTAAAAGTTTGGTAAATGTTGTAAATTTTAAAAATCAGATGCTTATGTCAATCTACCATGACACCACTTGAAATATTATATTTACTAAGAATGTATCTTCTTATAAATTGTGTCTGTGCCTCTTGTAAAGATGTGTATTGTATTAACTTTGTGGATTTGGGTATCAGAAAATTAATAAAACTACTGATTTTTAAAGAAAATTGAAAAAAAACTTAATTAAAATTATTTCACTCATTGTTTAATGCATATTTCTTCTTATAAGATGGATATTATTCGAATCTCCAAGTGCAATAAAATGACCTATTATCACCTCAATGAAAAGCTTCATTGAGTGGCAGGACCTCCACATACACTTGCGCCATCTATTGACAAAATGTGCAACTAACGCACACAATGAAGCTATTTTACTCTAAGTAGAATTTTCAACCTGCAGACTTTTATACATGGAAATTTTTAATGCCAATCAATCAGAAAAAGAATACAGTCCCAGTTTGAATGATGGTTATATTGATTTTACCAGGTGCAATTTCTATAAGAATCACCTGTGTATTATTTCATTTTTCCTAGCAACTGGGTCAATTAAACATGTAACTTTAGTAGTAGCTTTTATTGAATGATTACTGAGGAAAAAAAGAAGCTTTGTTCAGTTTATCTATTCAGATAACAAAAATTTTGTACCTTTTCAAACCTGCATTTAATGATCTATTCTCTTTGCCTTTAATATTTTCCCATCTTTCTAAAAAAATTCTTCAAGACCATCTTTTAATAGTGTTATTTCATTTGTTTACCCATTTTAAAACTTCAGTTCTCTGACAGTTACGTATCAATACTAAAGAGAGGGAAAATGTAACATCTTAATATTTAGTAAAAAATGTAATTTTCCTGGAAATTTTAAAGCTTTCCCCTTAGTAATTACCAGGGCATTCTATATCCAGAACCCATTCCAAAATTATTATCTATTAAGTAATTTCTAAGTCACTCACATAACAGATGGTCACTGGTGATTTCCACTCATTATGGTAAAATATAATTAAGGAATTTTAAGACTTGAAAACTGGTACATACACTTTTAGAAAATTCTCGGTGGTTTTGGGTAGGGCCTAATTTTGCCTTGGTGACAAAGGGGGGATTGTCTTGATTTACAGAAAAAAAGCTATATATGCCTTTAAACTAATTTTAAAACTACATGTATAATTTCATAAGCAAATCAACTTACTAACAATCTCCAGGAGATTAACCAGAGTCAAGCCATCCCCCACACTTTTCCGCAAGTCTCCGACTAAACGACATTTGTTCTTCTTCAGCACTTCATTGGCCCAATCTGTATGTTCCTAAAATACACAGTTAATATTGTGATTAGCTTGATGTAATTTTTCATCATATTTGTCTGTGTGTCCGTTTTATTAGTGGACGAGATCATTAAAAAACTCTTCACAAATTCAAAAATGTCTTCAGAAGATATAATAATAATAATAATAATAATAATAATAATAATAATAATAATAATTTAATAATAATAATAATAATAATATATGTAATTTGTCATGATATGGGGGAAAGCAATGATTACATATACCTAAAAAGGATTTTCATTTCACTAGTATTTACATTTTGCTATATATGACAAAGGTAGGTGCTCTTGAATGAGAACTCTCTGAATATTTTCACGTCATATAAATTTCCATTCACTTGTATATATTATTTTTATAAATACAGTATCTACATGTTTTCAGTAAACAATTCAGACAGAAAATCAGATAGTCAGACAGAGGAAAGGGTCAATGGAGGAATGGACAGAATGACAGACAGATGGTCAGGAAAGAATCGTGAAGAATTATATAAATATCAATCTATATACTTGCAAAAGAATGTATACGTAACAATATGCACCAGAGATCAGATTAGATCTGTTGTAGGCAATTATCTAGACATGCTTTTAACCATATCCCAAAGCAATTAAGGAGTCCCCACAATTCCTGCTAAAACACTCAGTTTTTATGAACAGTATACTATTACAAAGTGATTTTACTAGCATACATAATTTGCCAAGATGTCTTTTGATCTGACGTGTAAAAGTAGGGATACATGTAGTTAAGAATGATTGTAGTGTTGAAAGAGCAATATGAAATAAATCAGATCTCCCAACAGCAAAGTTCCATAGGTCTGAAACTCTTTGCATATAACAGTTTTATGTTAATTAACTAATACCATCACCGAAGTAACACAGAAAAGGTTTCAATCAGTGATGCTGTTACAGTGCTTTACAACAAAATGTCTTCTTCTTCACCTTTTGGACCAATGTTTCTTCAAGGCAATAAACTTCAAAATATTGTACTAATGGACCAATTTTTTTAAAATCAATGACATAGTGTCAACTTCCCTTTTTTTCTCTCCAACCAAAGAGCCTTCAGAACAATTCACCTTCAGAATATCATACATGAACTCTGAGATTGATGAACCTATAGACAGTTGATTTTTCATATTTTTTTCTTTTAAATTTCACAGTGAACTCAACTTTCCATTATTCTCAGGTACTGTCAAACCCTCAGACAAACAAACCTACAGATTGTCAGGATGCACCCATATGTACTGCACAATGTACTGTCCAAGCTGACTGGGTTTGTCCAAGCTGCATCACAACAGCTGGCTGGACACATAATTGCTTGCCCTGGTCAAGCTGCGGCCACTCCTGACTGTTACAAAACAAGCCGTACTTGAAGTCGTGCTTACACAGCAAACTGATTGTCCACAAATTAATAACACTGTTAATTTAGATTTGTTGACAAATTCACTGTAGAATAAATATTATAGTGAGGACTGGTTGAGTTAATGGTTCTATAATGATTTAACTCTTCAGATTTTTGTGTGCTGTAAGCATGTTCAAAAGAATGTCAAACAAACTGTTCTGCCTAAGGAGTCAGATTAGGATAAAATGCAATGATGAAAAAATAACACTAACACTAGAATACTCAGTCTCTTTTTGTACTTACTACAGCACACTAACTTCATTTATTGTTCACATTCATTGATGATTTCTTCAAAGGTTTAACTACATAATTCCTACCAGTATGACAAATTTGTCTTAAAATTCATTACTTAGTGTTGATGGCATATTAATATCAAACACAGCTTTCATCTGAATACTATTAAACTAATTTATTATTCCCATCACATTTTAATGAAGTCCACAAAGATGTAGGCTGGCTCATAGCCAGGGAGGTTGGGGGGGGGGGGGTTCGAAAGAACCACCTTTTTTGTCAGGAAAAGGTCCATTCTGGGAAAAATTTGTTTAGGTACACAAAGGTTTCATTGTAAAGGGTCCACTTTTTCAGAAAAAGAACCCCCCCCCCCTTTTCAATTTGCTGGCTATGGGCCTGAAGATGGCTGCCTCCTTATTTATGACTACAGGTTTGGTGCAAGGGAAAGCTCTCAAGTTTAGAACCATCTTGGGTTCAGTGCATGTGCTCAGCAAAAGACATAGAAATTCATCAGTCCCATTTTACAATGTGTGCTTGTGTCTCAGGCACAGTTCAATTTCTCTTGTGACCACCCTCACCTAAAACAAGTAAACTGACCAAAGAGCAGCATTTGGTGGCATGTTTTAGACTTAAACTGATCCTATTATTATGTATTGTGTGAATGCATCTTTGCAATGAAATGCACGTTATTTAAACAAAACAGAAGGGCTCTGCCTAATTATGACTAAAACCCAATCCTCTCTTACACAACAAATAATTACATTCATTTGAGTGAAGCCAATAAATATGGCCCTTTCCCATGAATTTCAAAATAAGAGGATGCATGTAAAGCATTATAATCTTAGCATTTTAGGAATAATCAATAACAACTGAAGTAAGAATCAAAGATAATAATCAAGAAACCTCAAGTTCATAGTCTGTATAGTAAAAATAATGCATCTACATAATCAATTTCCCTTATAAATAATTGCATCCAGTGATATTGATGAATTTCCATATTTTTCAATGCTTGTTAAACAGTGGATTGGATTTATTCATTAAATAGTTGAAAACTAAATTTTGCCAAAAAAAATTATAATTATTATCATTATAAAATAGAGTAAAATGAAATTTGTTATGGCAGTGGCAAAAAAATAACTGTGAGAAAAATTAATGTCATTATTGGAATTAAAGGGGCATGAGGCATTTCTAACATTAGAGTACATACAAGAAAATATAAGAGAGGTATAAGAAATGGTCTACTGTTTGAAAAGGGTCAATTTTTCATCCAAAGTTTTGCCATCAACTGTTTAATAAAATGGAAAGATGTAAAGAGAACTACATGGAGTAGTTACATTAACAATTGCTTGACAAGCTAGCTGACCATAAAAAAACTTCACTTTTGCTCAGTGCTCTGACCCTGCTCATTTTCCTTTTCAATAACATCACCTGTAAGTGTTGTGAGGCACAGGTGGGAGGGGGGAGCTGCCCATAATAAAAACAACAGAAACCTGACTGTGCATGCATGCTGTGTTCCCATGTCAATAGGGTAACAATTTGTCTTCAAATTTCTCAGGTGGATATTTATAACATTCCAGCATTTAAGCCGTTGAATGGACTTAACTCTGGTGGTTCTTTAAATCTGACATCCTACTTCACACCCAACTTACTTTCAAAGGCCAAGAAAAACACATCTTGTATTAATGACAACATTCGGTTTCAATTCTCATACAGCCCCCTTCAACCAAGGGACAATTCTGGGCTAGGCCAGATTTCAACCCCAAACAATGCATTATCAAACAATATTACAGTTTAGAATTTACGCTAAATTTGTTTCTGTTGTCTTTATTCAAACTCTATATAGTTGTGACTCCACCTGTGTGGAGAAAAACTGGAAGAGTTGTGTTGATTCTGGTATGGATCGTTGCGGTGGGTCAAAGTTTATATATGATAAGAAAATGGCTTCATACGTTAACAGAAAATATTTCCTTGACATGTCCACTTCAAAGTTAAAGCAATGAATATTAATAAAAAATTTAAGGAGTAACCCAAATCATTTTCAAAAATGTGAATTATAATGTTTCATGTAGGGCCAATAAAACAGACCCAAAGACAAATATTTTTATAACAGAGTAAACCAGCTTTGTGTCACACAGTAAATCAATGTGGTGAGCAATTTATTAAGCTTCTATTTAAAACCATAAACAACACCACAAACTGAGCCATTTATCATTTCACACCTGGCTTTCTACTTGCTAATAACTGTAAAGACTTAGCTAAGAAACCCACCATAAAATGATTAGAATGTCTGTGGAAAGTTGTCGTATTTAGGAGATATCAAGAACAGGATTAACAAGGGGCCTTTTATTTTAGATTCACATTTCATCTCAGATGCAGACATTCCTCACTTTACAGTCTAACCCTCATTACATAGTCTCCTTAATGTCTTGTTATCTTTTAATCACATTGCATCTTTGAATTAAATCCAAATAACTGGACATGGACTTGGCACCAGAATGTCAAGCAAATTATTACATATAACTGACACTCTTCGAGATAGCAGAATTTATCAAGATGCAGGTGTATGTGTTTCTCGACAACAGGTTTTAATTGAGGAATCCACGGAGATACAAGAATCATCCACTCACTAGCTAGTTTACATAACCTATATGAGGTGGATTATGACAGTTAAGCTTCACATGCTACAACAGTCTTTTGAAAATGCTTATCACATTGGCTGAGTTTAACATGTTCTTATGCACATGTCCCATACAGTTATGCTGAGAGAGAAGAGCAAACAGAATTTCAATCAAACCTACTGTTTATTCATGAAAGGAAAATGTTGAATTAGTGTCATTATATCAAAATCAATATGTTAAATGGCTGTCCAGCATATCATCTTACTTCTTGCTTTGTTTATCATAACCTTGGATGCATCTTTTTTTAGGAAGCAGGAGGAAAGAATATACATTAAAATGTGCTAAGTTGTGTCAGTATACCCCATAGTTAAAAGGCAAGTAGCAACTGTCATTAATTTGAATTTCAATTAAAAACACAGATAAAAAAAACAAATTATTTGTCAAACCAAATTTTATTTTTTGGAGAAATGACAAAAATGAATAGAATGTGATTTACTAGATGACTGATCAAGAGTTTTTTTAACCTTTTATTTAAATTGTTTAATTTGTGACTTTTTAAATTTTTATATTTTTTGATAATAAACAAAATCTGACCATGATGCACACTCTCACCTCACACTCCTGAAGTGCCCACTCTCCTCCTATTGAAGACTTAACCGGAGACGCAGTTGTCCTCGAATACAGAACCCCTTTAGGTGTGCTTAATCCACTCCCTTCTCTCTTGTACAGTTTAAGTCCTTTCCCTGTTAGGGTCGTCGTAGCTTTTCCGTCCTCTGTCCATGAATTGATGGGCTTTCCAGGTTCCTTTTCCTCTGTGTTCATTAAATTGTCCTGTGCTGGAGCAGGCATGTTGGTTACTGATTAAGTTTCCCTTGGGCTTCCGTTAGAGCTCCCTTTGACCCCCGTTGGCATCAGTACAATATCAACACACACCTTAATGCAGCACCTTCGCCAGCCTCAATGCTTGGCTAATACCTGGCCATTTGATAACAAGAATATCATAATAAAGGCTGTTCTCTATGTGCAATCAGAGGGGTGATTTGTTTTGTTAGCTCAATTTAACCAATAAAGCAACACTTTTATGTATCAAATATAATGCCACGTTTCCAGTTGGTATCCTGTTACCTTTTAAATTCAATAAACTGAGCTGTTTAAATGGATTTTTCATGGTTTTAAAATCCCTTGGAATTTAAACAATGGAGAAACCATTTATTCGGTGATATTTACATCATTTCTCATTAACAAATTTGAATCATTTAGGATCAGTTTTGAAATAGAATTACAGCTTCAATAACTGATATTGATCAAGCACTTACTAGCAATATCTAACACATTTCTGAGAAATACTGCATAATTAAAATGACAGTTAAGCCATTTGTTTTCACACAAGAAACTATATACAGCATGAAAGCAGTCTTTTGGTAGTACGGGTGTATGTGAAAAGCATTTTACAAGGGAAATAAAATTGTACAGTTCTAACAACCAAAGGCTCTAAAAATCACAAAGACAACTTTATAACTTGGCGTGACATGTAAACAGTATGAAACCAGTACCGAACACACTAAGACTATAGAAACATTTACTTACTTGGGATGTAGCTAATGATATTTGCCATCCACTTACCTTATTTGAAAATTTCTTCCTCGGAACGTTATAATTTGGACTAGGGTGGCCCGAACAGTTCCTAAATGTCAAATCAAAATTGAATTTCAAATAAAATGCCAAAGGTGTTTTTCACAAAGTAGAGCTGCTTATGTGCATGTGATCTGTAAAAGTATAAAGTGACCTGTTTTTTTGTGTTACATGCAAGTTCTCTGGATAAAATCAGAAATTTTAGTCATTGAAACGGACTTACACCCAGAGTTAGTAATTAAAGAAACATGAATCCAGTGCACTGAAGTTTCCTTTTTAGTTCCTTTTTTTCCAAAACATACCTGTCAATATATTTACATAATAGAACTGAAAAAAATTTTCAGGAAATTAATGGCTCCAAGTTCCTATCAAAATTCAACCATTAGAATACTAACTCCAATACAACAGCATCGTCTTGATGTCCTGTTTTCTTGCCAGTCTCTTCTCATTACTTCCCTAATAGTTTGGTAGATTAGGCCTGCTGTTGAAAGAGTTATTTAACTGTTGTTTACTTGTGATTTACTGTGGCAGACCACTGATACAAAAACCAAATAAATTCCAGGCTGTGCCTTACATCTGCCATGCCACACGGTGATGACAAAGATGTGGACTATAGGATCAGGCACATATTGAAACTGCTTGGCTACCAATAGCCAGCTGACCATTAGCACAAACAAATCACCAATATTTCTGACACTTCAAAAACATTTGACATCCTACATGTATACCTTTGGATCAAACTGCTACAGCAACACCTTTCTCGTGCACATTTCAAACATCTTTTTGCTACTCACAGACAGTATTTAGTGGCATGTCTTGATAAATACACAGGATATATCAAAACTACTAAAATGACATTTATGCTATTGACCTTTCCACACTGCCACATATATTAAAATCAACAAATAGTAAAGTTACAAATACTAAAAGAACTTTAAAATGTAGAAAATCCAGTAATGATAAAATAAAATTTAAATGAACTGCTTCAGTTGGGTTAATTATTAAGAAATTAATTGATATATACTAACATAATAAAATTAATGCATTTATATTTATTTCAATCACATTATTGGTAAAAAAAAAAAGGATCTGTCATGACATTTAAGTCCTTACTAACTTTTCTGGCAACATTTAACACTAACAAATGGTGTACGTTCCATGTGACATTCATGAGGATAGGGGATTGAAGGGTGAGGCATTGAGACGAAAACGCTACCAGACCCCCCCCCCCTTATTCATTTCAAATGATTTTATTTTAAGACAACCCACCTGCATTTAACCACGAGCGTTCCCGCTCTTCTACCTCCTTCTCCCTCCTCCCCTCCTCCCCCGACACACACCGATCTTAAAAACCCCTTCCAAAGTCTTTATCAAATGTTTTTTTTTTTTTTTTTTTTTTTTTTTTTTTTTTTTGCAAATGCTTCCATTTCTCTACTTACTGGTATGAAACCAAATCAGCTGAGAGCCAACTAACAATTAAGATCTAACAAACGTTAACAAATTACTGCACGCAGCATTGCATTGCAAGTGGATGTGAAGCGTGTGCTGTCACAACTACCACACTCATTCGGGTCACGACGCACTGCGGACCCAGGGAACACAAAGATTAAAAATTTAATTGTACATAGCTTCATAAATATAAAGCAACAGACTACGGCAATTTAACTCTGTCACGTTTGGATGGAAAAATTATTGAATTTTGCCTCATTTTTTATTCTGAATTTTTTCTCGCTATAAACCTTCTCCCCCATCCCCTAGATGATCGATCTATTTTTTCATAAAACTGCAGTCTTCTGAACTTAACCTGAGTTTAACTGGACGACTAAAAAAGATAAAGATAAAAGGGTAGGAATGATAATAATAGCACTAGCAATCTACCTGAAAGTTGGATACCGGTTGAAGACTGGAGAAAGCAATGAACTAAAAAATGAAACAAAATTTTTCAAAGAAACTTTTGGAAGACATTCATCTGGTCCCAAAATTTAAATGCTTGTTATCATACATTTTCTCCATAGAGCTGTATCCACGCAAAGAGATGTAATTATGTTTTATTTATATATGTTTTATATGTTTTATTCTTTCACTCTCAAATAGCCACTTGGGGCGCCACTGTCATCAATATGCTGTAAATTCTAACGCTGAGGATGTCGTTAGAGAGTGATACGCACATTTTGATAGGGGCCTATTCTATTTTTGTATTTTATGAAAGAATGCGTTTAAAACTAATTAATGGTATTTGTTATTCGCAACTTCTTTACGTAAAGAAGTATTAATAAGGAACAAGCACGTATGTGGTGATAATTTAATTCGGAGGAGAACTATGTATGCCTTCCCCTCACCCCTCCCCAGTTAACATTGGCACAGTGTCCTTGAATCTTGTCGACATGTAGTTACGTTGTCATACCCCAGACCATTTGACAGACTTGTTCTCGTACATTTGTTTACTTATCCACATTGAAGACTATTGGCTCTTTAGATGCTCACGGTGCAATTGCGGTTCGGACGTTGTTTTGTAAAAAAAGAAAACAGTTGTTGTGTGAATATCTGGTAAAAAAAAAAACTCTATGGCTGTAGTTGAAGGTAATGGCTGCTTCAGGCACGTTTAATAAAAAACTGATAGAGTGGGTTGGAGGGGAGCGTGGAATTTTCCATAACTTTTAGGCGGTGATGGGGGGAGGACTTCATTTTCAAGACACCTTCATTTCATGCAGGAATGATTATGATAAAATTAAGAAAAGACTACTTTTCTTTACGATATAAGTCTACATTTATTTGAACATATCCAACATTTTTTCTTTGCTTCAATTTCTCAGAAGTGCTGTTATGTCGGTTGGCCCATAGCATTAAAATAATCATTATATGAAGGTAATACCTTCATTCCCAGCTATTAGGCTAACCTTATTTAATAAATAAAATTGGCAAAAATTTTGAAAAAAAAAAAAAAAAAAAAAAACTACCGCCACAGTCTAAGAGCGCCGCCATCTAAGTGGTCATTTTGAAAATTAATAAATCAAATGCGTTTCGGGGTTTCTCGATTGACCATAGTCTTGTGGCCTTTGTCCTCGTTTATGGCTAGATGATATGAAATATTTTTCAACAAAACCATGCTCCCCTTGTGTCATCCATATTTTAAAATCGTATAGGACAAAAAAATATTAAATTTTTGCTAATTACTTTCATTTTCTCAAAACAATATCTATTCTGTGAGATCAAAAGATATTATGAGACCGCTTTAAGCCTGGGACTATTTCGTTAAGTTACATTGGGAGGGGAGAATATGGTGAAAAATTATAAGCTTCAAGGTTGACTGGGTAATGAATACTCTTATGGCTCATATATTTGGATGAAAACAAATCCACAGGGGCCCTATGCCCCCCTCACCCCCACCCCCTCTCCCTGAAGCACTTAGCCCACCGTGCAACTGCGCACACTGTATATGTTCTTTCCCGGCTGAATTCGTGATTGGCATTGAGTTATTTCTCCTACACATAGATTAAAAGGCTATCGTCTTGACCTTAACCAATTCTGCATCCTTCTTAATACACACCTAGATATGTTATGGGACTCAGGCGGTATATGCTTTATTCGGTTTTAGGAATGTTTTTCGGTAAAATGCGAGTATTTTTCTCTCCCGAGCGATAAATTCCAGAACATCTCGAGCGTCACACATACGATCAATTTTTTTGACAATTTGATACACACATATTTAAATTTTTCAATTTCCAATCATTATTTCAAGGGTTGCAACAAACAGCTTTTCATCGAGTTTGCAAACTGGAAGCTCGGTATAACTACTGACGGTAATGGTGTTAAATTCCATGTAAACACAACCATCTGCTATATATCCTCCACACTTGAATCTTTTTCAACTGAAAAAAACTATTTTGATTGAAAGGCATTTGTAAAACACGCAAATATAAAATAATTTATCACAGAAATATTTTTAATTTGATTGCTTAGTATTGCACCCCTTGTTATACATTTGCGCAAGAACTATCGCAACTAGATCATATTAAAACATACACTGCATAAATTTAACGGTTTTAAATATGATAAGAGTGGTAAAGTAGGCGAGCATTTTCACCCAAAATATTATTTCAAATGAAGACAGCTTTTCTTATCAAAAGACGAACAGTTTATCAGGTTTGGGATTTGAAACAGGTGCCTGTTTTCACCATCAGGTCAGCTCGTGATACGTGGTAGGCGTACGGTGGGTACTTATACCGACGTGAAGCGCCGGCACTGCACGAGTCTCTCCCAGTCATTTAAACCAAATTGAAGGACGTCGTCAAGATGTGGAAAGTAGTCATCGCCTGTGCCCTGCTGGCAGGTAGATATCTTATGTTTATATATTTATTCATTTATTTATTTTATCGAAAACCCTAAATCAATACATGTTTTCCATATTCATTCCATTTCATATTGTTATGCAGTATGTGTGGAGAAAAAAGCGGACGCTGACAGTGTGCAAAATATATATTTAATTTACCTCATTCCCAGTTGTTCAAAATATTTTTCTGCAGTTGCCGCTGCCCAGGAGCCAACCCGTAGCCCGAAACCAACAAGGTCACCAAAGCCCGATCCTTGTGAGACAGACTGCAACAATCTCCCGGCCAAGTTTCAGAGGGAAAGAAAGCTTTGCGATACCAACGGCAAAGTGTACAATAGCTTGTAAGTTTTTGATAATTAGTGTAGTATAAATAATGACCTGTCAAATAGAAATCTAGACTGTCTGTTGAAATTGAGTTCTTCGAGGTGACTAAATAGCCTGGATGCAGTGCGCGTGCGTGCGCGCTTGCTTTTTTTACAAAGTTCAAAGTTCTTTCTTTTCAGTATTTTAGGCCAGCAGGCCAAGAGTAAGACTTCCATTCTATTTGATCACATTGTGCATTGTGCAAAATAACTATTATAATATACATCAACAGATTCATATATAAACATATAGTTAAATCAATACCATGTCTCTATACACTTCTAAATATATCATTAGAGCTTTTCAGATTTCTATCAATATTCTATGTCTTTTTTACGTTTTTTAGTAAAAAAGACATATTACTAATAAACAGCGGATCCAGAGAAGGGCACGGGGGTGGGGGGGGGGGGGGGAGGGCACCTACCATCTCCTTAATTTGCGTGCCCTCCCCTCCCCCCTCCAAATAAAAAAGTACAAAGACATTGTTTAGAGCAAAACGAGACAAAATCAAATATTTTTCAATCTCTGTACACTGCATTTTATAGTAAAAGAAGTCGTCAACTGTTGTATTTAGGAAATTCAATTTTGGTATTTTGAAAATTTTTAATTCTCTCGGCCAGGTGCGAGTTTGTGAAAGCACGCTGTGTTGATGCCACTCTGAAGAGAGGGAAATGCCAGACAGTGGACGTTGCTGCTACTACTGAGCCAAAACCGACTAGGTCTCCAAAGCCTACCAGGTCACCAAAGCCAAACAAGTTCGATAGAAAGTGCATGCAGTACAATAGCTTGAACTGTGAGAACTTTCCCAAAAAGGAAGTTTGTGACCAGAATGGCAACGTGTATATGAACAAGTAAGAATTCTTCTTAGATTAATCCCCCCTCTCTCTCCCCATATAAAAACGTATAACTTGGAGGAAGATATTAATTCAAAAACAATAATTGTTATGAATAAGTCCCTCACCTTTACGTATTTACATAGTAACTGACTTCATGAAAAAAATCCATGTTTAAAAAAATGCATTGATTTTATTGATTTTTTAACTTTATTTTATGATTTTATTGATTTTATTTCCCGCTAGGTGTGGGCTGGTCAAAGCTCAGTGTGGGGACAATCAAATTCGTATGCGCAGGTGTCCCAAGCCAACCGATGCTCCAACTGACGGCTCCGGTGAGGAAGTCCCAGCCTTCAAGCGTAGCAAAGGAAGCAAGCCTAGTTCATCTGAATCATTGGTAAAACCAGAGAAAGTCAGACCACAAAAGCAAAAGCCAAGCAAGTTGGACAAACCAGAGAAGACCCCCAAAACCCCAATCGACGGCTCTGGATCTGGTGAAGAACTGGTAAAACCAGAGAAAGTCAAACCAAGCAAGGAGGCCAAACCAAACAAGGAGGCCAGGCCAAGCAAGCAATCCAAACCTGCTTCTGGTGAAACACTGGTAAAACCAGAGAAAGTCAGACCACAAAAGCAAAAGCCAAACAAGGAGGAAAAACCAGAGAAGACACCCAAAACCCCAATCGACGGCTCTGGATCTGGTGAAGAACTGGTAAAACCAGAGAAAGCCAAACCAAGCAAGCTCGCCAAACCAAGCAAGCAATCCAAACCTGCTTCTGGTGAAGCACTGGTAAAACCAGAGAAAGTCAGACCACAAAAGCAAAAGCCAAGCAGAAAGGAAAAACCAGAGAAGACCCCCAAAACCCCTATCGACGGCTCTGGATCTGGCGAAGAATTGGTAAAACCAGAGCAAGTTAAACCAAGCAAGCAAGGGAAACCAAGCAAGCAAGCCAAACCAGATAAGCACGCCAAACCAAGCAAGCAGGGCAAACCAAGCAAGCAGAAAGGAAGCAAAACCAGCGAAACCCTTGTGAGCGAAGTGAAACCACAAGTCGTCGAAACTATTCTTACTCTGCCATAGAATGTGTATTGAAATGAATTTTTGTTCGTATCATCTCGTTTACATATTTAGGACTTACATTTTTTGAATACAAAGAGAACATTAAGTAAAACTCTCGACCATGATCATTTCTGATTAAAGTCGTGTTCTTGTCACCTTCATTATAAGTGCAATAAATTCACACAGGCTCTACATATTTGTCCTTTGATTTAAATGGTCTCTTTCTATCTCTCTCTCTCTCTCTCTCGTTCTCACACACACACACATATAAAATCGAACTTTAAAAAAAGTCAAAAGGAAAGGTTTATTGAAGAGGCAGTATGCGATATTGTTTTGTCTTCTTTTTAGATACCTTATAATAATATCCTAAGGGTCATTTAATATATATTTATATGAAGTTACAAGCCTTTGCTTAAAGATAAAAATGCAAAGAGTATATGTAACAGATCACCCGGCTTTAATGAACAAGGGGGTTGTTATGCCTTTAATCTGCAAATTATCAAACATTTTTGAATTTAGAAAACGACGACGCGGAAATGGATATGAACTATTGAGGACCTCAAGAAAATTCGTCGATTGTTTCACTTCGCACCAAAATCACGCGCCTGGTACCTATGGAACATAATATAATTATTATATTAATATTTGCAATTTTATTTAACACTTGGAAGATATTATGCTCGGTGTATGATCGAGATGGCGAGAGCTGGTGGTCACCGTGTGATGGACGAGCGGAAACGCTGTTGTGACCTAGCGAAGCAATGGGTTGAAGAATTTGCACGGTTGATATATGGACAAAATCATGGAATTCTTGAGGAAAAAATCTATTCAGCAATTCATTCTCGTGCAATTAAATTAAGTTTTAATGTGAACGCACAGACAACAAACGCCCCTTTGGTTGGAAGAGTTCATGTTGCGTCCAGGTAAGAAGTGTGATGGTGTTATGGGAACGACAAAACTGATTCAGTTTACGTACACAGTCTCGCCATGACTTAGCAAACTGCTAACAATTCTAAGTCGTTGTTCAAATAACAACCCTAATGAAGGGAAATTCGATGCAGTGATCTAAACGTCAATATTCAAAACGCCGTTGATATTATTATCATATCGAGACAGGTTTAAGGCAACCGAAAAACTGCGAGGTTCACAGTTTCTGATAGACATATAGGGATACATTTGACCATGCCGGTTGATTTGTACTTGTTTCAGTTAAGTCCCCCTAGCCTGGCTGTCCGTATGGCCTGCAAGGCAGCGGAAGTGGACGTGAATATTAAATGGATAAACACATTTAAGAAAGAGCAAATGACTGAGGAGTACCTTAAGGTAAGATTACAACTGCAGTTTCTTGGCATTTGATGCTTAAGTATAGTGTATTCTCCTCATAGTATTACACTAATAAAACAGAATAGAATAATTTCATTTATGCTTAACTTCAAAATAAGATTACGCTTTTGTTAATTTTATTGCCTATTTTTATGATAGCTGAAAATTCAGCACTTGTAAAGGTTTAGTGGTCCTATAATCAAAAAGAAAAAACACTTCCCTCAACAAATTGTAAATAAAATGTAATAAGGGGAAAGCTCTCATGCCCTTGACCTATTCCTTTGGGTTTCACTGATAAGTGAATACATCACATTGTTTTCTTTTTACAGATAAATCCAGACCATACGTGTCCGACTATAGTTGACGATGGCTTTTGTCTGTGGGAAAGGTGGGTGCAAATTCGTATTTTTAATGAACAGGCCACGCCACATTGTAATCGTTCTGTAGTCTATTGTATAGGACTTCATTGTCGGTTTGTCTACATTTATAGTGTATAAAGTAGTGTGTATAGTTTCCCCTAGTAAGAGTGTGAAGCCCAAAAAGAGGTCGTAGTTTTTTTCTACTGATCCAAAATCAAATTACACCTTTCTTTCATTTTTTTTTTCAATTCTTTAATAATATAAAGGATAATTATATAAAGAAGAGGAAAGTTGTCTCGTTGGGGTGCTGCTAATGAGAAGTGCAACGTAGGAGCAAGATAATGGCTGAAATATCGTTTCACGAACACCTCTCCTTTACAACATACAAATAAACATTATGCATTTTGTTAAGAAGGAATAATAAGGACAGCTTAACACTTGCCCTGTTGCCCAGGTCGCTTTTAAAATGGTATGATCTTGTTCACAACGTCTTCAAAATTGTGATACTGTCAGTTCGAAGTCTGCACCTGAAAATTTCTCTTTTACGAATATTACATTTGTAATTCAAGAGTCAGAAACTGGATATAACAACTTTTATCACATTTGGTATCAGATATTACATTGATCTCCTTTCAGCAAAGCTATCATGCCATATCTGCTTGAGAAGTACGGAAAGAACGAGTCGCTCTACCCAAAGGACATCAAGCAGAGGGCAATAATCGACAGGGCCTTGATGTTCAATGCCATCACATTTACACCTAAGGTTTACGGAGTGGTAAGTTTGAAATAAGCTCTTCGTGTGCTGTGGGCAGGAAAACAGAAAGTTTCATTGGTCTTCGTCTTCTTATATCCCTAGTTTATATAATTATTTTCGTCGCCTACTAACGCTTTAAGTTGATAATTAATTATGAAACATGTTGAAGTGGTTCGCGGGAAAAATGTCCTGATACGTGCTTTAAAAAAAATCATCAAGAATTCATTTTTTGTTTAAGTTAACTGCACCTTTATTCTTCATCTCTCCCTTTCAGTTGCTACCAAGACTGGCTAAAAACGAGGTTTCTGAGGAGGCAGAGAAGGAGTTTAAAGAAAAAGCAATGGACAAACTCAATCGGGACCTGGAGGGAAAACAGTTCATCGCGGGAGACAACCTCACGATCGCCGACTTTGCTTTCTGGGGGCTGATCACTCTATTAGGGCTCTTTGATATTGATACAAGTCCTTGGAGTAACATATGCTCTTGGGCAGAGCGCATGAAGGCGTTACCTTATTATGAAGAGTGCCATAAAGAGCTCTTTGAATTCTGGGAAGAAATGAAAAAGGTGGAATCTTAAATGACTTAACACAAAGAACTAGCAAAGTGCCACGAGAGTGACGATGGAGCATGAACAAGGAACAATTGAAAAAAGCATTTTGTTATATTTAAAAAGGACTAAAAACTACTCTTTTCAAGAGGAAAGTGTGCTTCCTTCAAGATCTGCATCGTCCTGTAAACATGTAATCTGTGATCAGACTGATATCTTTTATGCGATGCTAAACCTTAAAAAGACTCATTTTGTATTCTCGAGGATATATTCTTTAATATATGTGCGTAGTTTTTCTAGTTATATCAATGAAAATAAAGTATACAAACCCTTAAAGTTTCTATGTTCTTACTACTTAAAAGTTGAAAAAAAATTTTCTGTCAAAGATGATGGAAATGGAGTAGGTGGAAATGAAAATGATACTTCCGAATGTTTTTATGTGCCTCGTATTCAATATCCCCCCTGCATTACAAAATCGTTGTTTCCCAATGATTAGATCATCGTTTCTTCCAAGAATTCACGACTTGCTCCTTAAAAAGAAGTTTAGTGGGCTGCCATTAACATCAAATCCACTTCCAAACCGACAGAGAGAGATTTAAAAAGTAAGATATGAATAAAACTGTAATGCTTTAAATAATGTTGCAAAGAACAAAGTAAAAATAGAAGAAAAGGAAGAAATAAAAATTAAAAAAATCGGTTATCTTGCAAAAAACGCCCGGCTGTGTATAGTCATGGTTTTTATTTCTTTGGCAAAATCGAATTTCCTATTGAGGATAGTGGTGCCGATTTAAAAATGAGAACAATAGTCCAGCCACCTTTACCCCTTTTAAGTGGAGGATTGGTACCGCCTTAGTAACATCCAGTTAATCCAAAGACACACAGCGACTGTCGCCTGAACACACATTTCCAACAAATAGACCTCCTCTCAATGTAAGCATGGTGCGAGGCAGTAGAGTTCACAACAAAACATAGTTGTTAGGGCAATAGCAAAACAGTGATTAGACAGAATTGATCTTAAGACAAGCGACATTTGCATTTTTAGATTTCAACGAACGCGACACTTTATTTTTAACGATATTTTCGATATGGGGTGTAACAACAGCAAGGAGACCACGGCGTCGGATCCCAAGACAAAACCTGCCCCAAGGAAAGACACCAAACCGGCTCCTGCAGCCACGCCTGCTCAGTCTCAAGATGCTCCTCAGAAGGCCGAAAATACCGAGAAAACTGAAGACAGCCAGCAAACGAAACCTGCGGCAGAGGATGATACCGTCGCCAAAGTTGAAGAATGTGAAGGAGAGGTCTACGACCCCAACTGCCCAGTCCTATATATCAATAAGGTCGACCCGCAGTCTATTGCTTGCATGATGCTGCTTAGCGAGGCAGGAATCAAGGTTAACATAAAACATGTTGACCTCTTCAAAGACGAACACAAACAGGACTATTTTCTTAATGTGAGTGTCCAGTGTCTGTATGTGCAGTAACTGCGCAACAAGATGTAAATTATATTGGAGCCTTTTTTTAATGTCAGCTCCATAAAACAATGATACTTTAAAATTAAGAATGTAGATAGTACTTGATATATTCAAACAAGAGATTTGGATGTTATATGCTACGATTTTTCTTTCTAGTTTTTATGTTAATTTGTCGGGATGAGCGTTTTTAACAATGGTGCTTTAACTAACCACTCATAGGCAAACATATACGCCTTATCACTATGATGATATTACACGAAAAAGGTACCAAATATATACACGTTGTTATAGTCCTGTAGTATTTTTTCAAGTATAATTTATATTATCATATCTTCATTTATTTTTTTAGATAAATCCTGAACACTGTGTCCCTACTTTGGTGGATGGTGATTTTGTCCTTTGGGAAAGGTAAATATATGTATAATGGTGTGGAACTCTTCATATCTGTGAACTCATTACCATCAGTATATTAAAGCATAAAACACAAAACAGGGGGTAATCATCTAAGTTTTGGTCATAAAACTATGTCATGGTTTAAGTTTTGTTTTGTTTTATTTTATTTTATTATATCTATTTTATTTTATTTTATTTTTTATTTTTTACCGCTGCAGCCATCAATAAAAGAAAAAGATAATTGAAAAAATATATAATGAAGTTAAATTATTGAAAAATACTCCAAAAATTTCAATTTGTAGGCCTATCCTAAATACAAGGATCACGTTCCCCATTTCTTCCATTCAAGTCACAGGCTTTGAAAGTGCATAGATACTTTGTGGTAAACACGCACGCTTAGTATGCATTATTCATATAAACAAATAAGAACTCAAAACATTCCAATATTGCGGACCATTCAGACCCGTTTTTTCTTATTTGCGCGATCAAATTTCTTCGATTCTTCGAAGGAACCATGAATGTCAACCAAATTAGACGTTTGAAAAGAGTACATCTGTGCATGTATCAGTTTGCATACGAGAATCAAATCAATTTGGATGCTTTTTTTTCTTCTCCATTAGTTACTGCCTTCATACAAAATTACTTAATCGACACACACACACACGTATATTCACACAATATTCATTAAGTGACATCTATTCCAGTCGCCCGTTGATGAAATATCTGTGCCAGAAGTACGTCCCAGAGAGCAGTTTTTACCCCTCTGATATAAAGCAACGCGCTCTGGTGGATCGTCTAATGTACTGGGAAGCCAGCACTCTATGTACGGCAGTGCTCGATTATGCGGTAAGTTTATTTTGTGCTTTTTATACTAAATTCGTTTAAACAGAGACAAACAACGAACATTAAGAAATAATTGCGACACAATGTATATTGGAATCAGACAGGATGATCTGCATCTTCAGATTTCGCAAAACTTAATCGTAAAAAGTCCCATCGATTTTTTTTCTCAAATTTTAAAAAGGCGCCGGGAAAGTGATAATAGATTTATATTCATTTCACAGAATAAAAGAATATCCATTATGGCAATTTTTGCACATTCGTATCAAGTATCATGTATAAATATGTTAAGTGCTCTCCAATATTCAATTGAAAAAAAGCTCATTTCTTTCTTGATATTCGATTCTTAATGTGTCACGTATGTTTTACTAGAAAGGCAAAGGTTTTTATAATCACTTTGCCAAAGACCAATATGATTTATTGTTATATTACCTACATTTATTCAATAAATATAGTAACAGATTTTAAATTATTTTAAAGTATCTGTTTATCTTTTCATAAACATAGGCATACGCAGCATTTCTCGGCAAAGCTATCGATTCTGAGAAGGAACCAAAGGTTAAAGAAGCACTGGATTACCTAGATAAACATCTCAGCGGCAAGTCTTACGTCTGTGGTGACACCATGACACTTGTAGACTTGAGCATAATCAATACTTTGGCTCTTCTTTGGTATATCGACTATAAAATTGACAGTTGGAGCAACGTTGTTCAGTGGGTAAAGAGGGTAGAGAAAATTGAATGTTTCGGGAAAGTTAACGCCGCAGTGGCGGAACATAAGAAAACGCTAGAGAACAAGGCTCAGTAAAACAGGCTGATGGACTTCATTTTTTAACCGTCTTCCTATCAATGTTCACGGATTTCAAAGAAATCAGACCATTCGCATTCTTCTTTAATCCCCATGTTAGTTCAACCGATACATACAGTCTGCAAATGGATCTGAAGCACATTGTTCGATGACCATGAACCTTCATAAAACTAATTATTCGTATTTAACAAGATCAAACTTCTGAAGACACGCACAAGCTACTTCTTCGTAGAACACACAATCTGGTTTCTGTTTTGTATTTGCTCAAAGAAATGACTGGACTGCAACATATGACACAAGGAGAATCTGTGGAGTACAAAACATTCTGTATATAACTGTATTTAATCAAGAGCTGTTAGGGACTTTAAGAAGGGACTTTTGTAAATGTCTTATTGTTGCCTGTGATACCGCACGCTACTTTTAAGCTGCTGTGTGGATATATTTTACTTTATACCTTACTTCTGAATGATATTTTTCTTACATTTTGTGAACTGCTTGTAAACGAAAGAAAATTCCTGAATACATTTACATACTATTTATTAATAAGTAAAAGATAATAATGTATATGAACAGAGAAAAAATATAATTTAAGTCAATTTCAGGATTTTTTTACACAGCTCAAACTAATATGGATTTTATAATACCTCATAAAAATTAGGAAATTATTCTCAACATTAAATAAAATGACACAAAAACAAATATCACTGTTTTATTCATTGTTGTTATATTACCTACATTTATTCAATAAACATAGTAACAGATTCAAAGTAATGCATCAGTGAATGCAACACAGTGCAATGAAGCATCATTCAAGTTTACTGGGCAAACGCAGCAAAAATAAATATAAATAAAAAAATAAAAATTATACCCCTATAGCTTATTACAGTTAACATGTTATTGTGGGGAACCTACACAGAAAGGTAATCATATTGCAACAAATACTTACATAACAACAAATGTACAACAGCACAGTTTGGGAAAACAATTTCACTGCCTTATAAAAAGCATAAAATTTGGGTTAACACGTTACTTCCTCCAAAGAACCCCAGGTCCACTATGGAACGCCATTCACGCAAAAAATACACCACGCAATTTAAGAGTGTATTTTTTTTCAAAAGTGTATTTTTTTCTAACAATGTAGTCGGATAATTTAATAATGTAGTCCCGTAATCTTATAATGTAGTACCACTCGTCAAAAGTGTAACGTCGCGCCAAAAGTTTAACGCCATTCACGCAAAAAATACACCACGCAATTTAAGAGTGTATTTTTTTTCAAAAGTGTATTTTTTTCTAACAATGTAGTCGGATTATTTAATAATGTAGTCCCGTAATCTTATAATGTAGTACCACTCGTCAAAAGTGTAACGTCGCGCCAAAAGTTTAATCCCGCAAGAATAGTAATGACATCATTAGACACCAGATGGCGCAGCGATCTGTTGTTGTATTATCTGTTGGCTATCTTGGAAAAGCGCCACCTATCGTGAGGTTTCTTACTCTCAGCTGCTGGATACCAGCTACAAAGGTTGAGTATNCTGCGATATAACCACAACTTCAGCGTAAAACCGTAAATTGTCCGCCCAGGTCTGTCTCAAACCGCACGTGGCTCTCAGATTTGCTGATCATGGATACTGAATTCTCCGCAATGAGTTGCGGACCTCACGATAGGTGGCGCTTTTCCAAGATAGCCAACAGATAATACAACAACAGATCGCTGCGCCATCTGGTGTCTAATGATGTCATTACTATTCTTGCGGGATTAAACTTTTGGCGCGACGTTACACTTTTGACGAGTGGTACTACATTATAAGATTACGGGACTACATTATTAAATGATCCGACTACATTGTTAGAAAAAAATACACTTTTGAAAAAAAATACACTCTTAAATTGCGTGGTGTATTTTTTGCGTGAATGGCGTTCCATAGTCCACATTTATAAATACAACTTTCAGTAGACTAGGCTTAGTAATATTTCCTGATAATCTGACTGGTCTCCACTACCAGTACTTCCCCATGACGGACTACTCATGAACAGAGAAATTGCACATGACTATAAATGAGCTCTGTATGATCCTCATAACAGTATAATTAATTACAACAGACACCTATTAAAAATATAACATTTTTAGTCTTTGTGATTATATATATCTGTTGCTTTCTACTGATGGAAAATCCCTCAAAGTGGTTCCATTCCCATACATATTAAAACATTTCTGAACTACTATTTAGACTTAATACGTACATTGTTAACATATTTTTATCTCCAGTTCTATTAGTTCCACAAACCTCCTACATCCTTGTCATGCAAGTCTGCACAATCAATATTCATAAATTCATTGACTATGATATCAAAGCTTTTTCTCTATCAGTGTCTCAAATCTGCAACAACAATGTGCTGGTCTTCAACAATTTGGACATGACTGGATTGCTGAAAGTATACACAATATTACCACATGGATGGAAGTTGCATTTAGGGAAATAATAGATGGGGGAAAAAGCAAAACTTTGCATTACAAGCATTGTGCTTTTTCCAGCAAAGCAATAAATAAATATTATTTGTATTCACGTGCAACAAACAAAGGTCATTACCAAAAAACAAACAGAGGTCATTACCATTAATTGAGTACTGAGATGAAGCAGGACTTAAAACAGTGATATTCTCACCATGAAAAGTGAAACATACTAATATATATTAGCCATGTAGTCAATATATAGTGCTTTTATCTAGAAAAGGGTGTACCTCATAAAGGGGAGGTTCCTCTGGGTGTTTATGAAACCCCTTCTGCCTGCAGTTGGCCACATAATCTAAACCATAGTCAGGAGTCAGGAGAAAAAAGCCAGTCCTGAAAAATATTTCATAATGCTTGTTACAAGAACCAAACACATATGTATCTTACATTTGCAAATACAATAATCACAGTGATAATGTCAACTAAACAATCCAGGCCTACAGCTTGCAGATTCACATATTTTAGTTATGCAAATTTTCCTATGGTAACTTTTCCCATCTGAAAGCAGCTACAGAGCTAATATTTAATACTAAGCATAAACTCTCTCTCTCTCAGAACACAATAAACACTTCACTGATGTGTGCAAGATCATACTTTGTGAAAAAAAAAAACCAACAACAATGACATCACTTACTCTTGATATTTAGGAGAGATGACTATAGCAATGGCTTCTGGCATCATCATCTGATATCCTGCATGGGTGTGCAAATCCACACTGGACATAAATGCTGTCTGAGATGGATGGGTCTGGAATACCAACATTTGAAATACAGTACACTCGACATAGCTTATTCCGCAACTCATAACATGAATTGTCTGAAACAATTCTTATGAACTTGATTTCCTTTTTGGTATAAGGTGAAGTAATCATGAACATTACTTATGTTGCATCTCTGCAATAAAACTTGATATTGTGATACATATTTGCAAATATTGATAAACCATCTGGCAGTGCATGGTGTGAAGCTGCACGACTTCTCAAGACAAAAATTGTTCTGATGCACTTTCATGTAATAACATTACAAAGACTGCAGTCTTTTCACCGAGACAGACTAAAACCTACATAAGTCAATCTATGATTCAAAAATTATTAATCATTTCATGACCCACCAGTTTCTTACACCATTATTTTTCATTACGGTCACAAGACACTTACATGTATCCATCCCAGAGTAATCAAGTCATGCTTATCCTGGTAATCAAAGATGGCCTCCTCATCTTCGGCACTGCAGGAGTCAGACGTACCAGACTGCTTGGGTACCAGCAGGTTTGTTATGGTGAACGCACCTTGACTCTGAATATACAAATATATATTTATGAGTTTGTTCATGTTTTCACAATTATGGTCAATATTGCTGTTCATGTACTACTTTTTCTTCGTTAGACAACTTCTCACAACTGGGACTCGTTTCACAAAAGATTTTAGACCTTAACATTCATACAAAACTAGTCTACTTTTACCTTAATTAATTGGTTGTCAACCAACCAATACTACAATAATACCGTATCTGTTTTATCACAAGAAAAAATTACTTCTGTTTTTTTACCAACTGTTTCCCTTTTTTTGTTATCTACTTTTGAAGAATATCCAATTTTGGGTTTCAAGCTTAAGCTCAAAATTAGCTAAGTACTTTTTGACATTACTTGTCCACCAACCAACAGACAATAGGAGAAAACACTCATCATGAAAAACCCCAATCTCTTTCTTTGGTGAATTTGTTAATGTGCTCTCACCAATTTCCCTGCCAGGATCCCACAAGTCTCTACATTCCTGGCAGTGTTGGCTGTGGCCAGGTGTAGAAACTTAGGCATCAGGTCAGCAGGGCAGATGACATCCTTCAATCCATGAGCATTATGACTAGTTCCACCTATACTTGTATGGTGATTGACTCTTGGTTTGCTGGAGCGGTCAACAATAGGCCTGAAGATAAAAGATTTTTATGGCTCAGACACAGACAAAATAATGTGAGGTAAAGATGCCCTAAAACAGTATATTTTGATCATAAATTGATTAGTAAGATCTTACTTTCAAGATTTCAACATTTTCAAAATGTATTTGATTCTACAAACCAAAATTTCCATTTTTCTTGAAATTGAGTATGCAAGCTGCATGGACTAATACACAATAAATAAATAAACAAATGTTACATAGGGTGAGTACAGGGAACAGATACAAGTGCCTGATCGTGAAGTTCTACTATCTGTGTACTAGTCTTTGTTATTATGAATATCTGTTGCTTTCTACTGATGGAAAATCCCTCTAATCCCTCTTTCTATTAGTACACAGATTAACCAAATGTGCAAAAAATGTGGAAAAACACCCAGCTTTTAAATACATTCTTTCATATATTGAAATACCATTTAAAAATACTACCCAAAATATTTAAGGAATAATCATGTCCATTTTCCAATTTGACCTCCATTTAAGACCAATTAATGCATAATTACAATTTTTTAATCAAATAGCAACCCTGCTTTCTAGTTGTTATGGATTCTAGAATTGCATATGACTCTGGCTATTTCTCTAGCAAAGTGGATAGAAGCAGGTGATGTATATATGTACAGACACTAGACAGTCTGTGCATAAAAAATGGATGCAACTCTCTACAATCTTACGCTGTCGGTCTGATGTCCTCCTGTGGTAGTGGTGGGGCAGATGGTTCGTATGGAGGTGGAAGATCTATGGAACCAGCTGCTCCAACAACCTGCTGTGCATTATTTGATATTTGGCCATTGTCTAGATAAGCACCTCTTGTGTTTAAGATTTTCTTTTCTTCTTCATAAAGACGTAATCTCTCTTCTTGAATTTGCCTTTCCCTTTCTTCTTTTTTTAAAAGTTCCAACTTTTTCCTTTCTTCTAATTCTTTATATTCCTCTACCCTTTTCCTGTGAGCCTCTTCTTCTAGTTTCTTTTGTTCTTCTATTAATTTCTGTTTCTCAAGCTCTTTGGCCAGTAATTCTTCTTGTTTTTTCTGTAGATTAAAATAAAATGAAAATAAAATGAATTATAGTGGGCTTTTGAAGAGTGAGCACAGGAAACTTGATCCTAAAGCCAGTCAATATCAAGTCATTTGCATATTTTTAAGGTCTTTTCCACTAGGAACTACATTCTAAGTATCCTAAATTTCTCAAAAATTAAGAATTCAACACAAAAAATAATGTTTTTGCCATATATGTTACACTTAAGATACAAACTATGTAATTTAAATGATTTCAACTTTTAATTTCCCTCACATTTATCTGCTCAAAAGCTTACCTGCTCTTCCTTTTTCCTCTCTGCAATAACAGCAAATTCTTTTTTTAATTTAGCTTTTAATTCCTCTGCTCTAGGGAGAACTATGTCTCTTATTTTCTGTGGAATGGATGAAAAAATATTTGTAACAATTGAAATACATAATTATTCTAATTTATTAAAAATTTTACAAGCATAATTAAATTCAGGAAGATTATCCAATAAGTTTAACCATAATCTCAAAGGTATATATTTGTGTATGAAAATGTCTAAAAGTAATCTTTTCTGTACATATATTCTATAAAGCCAAACATACAGAACTAATTCATTTAATTGAAAATGGTGTAAAACATTAAATCCAGGAATATAACATACGTACACGCAGGAATAGATCAAGCTATAATGCATGATAAAGAAAAAACTGCTCTTTGGCTTGAAGAAATTTGATTTGGTGCAAAACTATCATCATAATATCTTTATAATTAGAGGTAAATCTGACAAACAGAGAAATACAGTTGCAAAAGTTCCTTTTCACAAGCCCAAGATACTGCTACTTTACCTGATTAATTTGGCTCTTCTCTTTACCAGGCACACTCTTGTACTCTGGATGTTGGCGCAGTTTGTCCAGAAACAGACTAGACAGAGAAACACAGCAGTATATATAGTACATAAATTAAGAAACAGTGTCTTATGCAGGTTTGCTATATTACAGTATATACATGTGTGGCTCTATACAATGTATAAATGGCATACATTTGTACAAGCATATACTATAGATAATTACTGCATGTGTGTGCGTGCGTGCATGTGTGCACACGAGTGCAGAATTAAATGTGGGTGTGTCAGAGAGATAGAGAGTGGCAGACAGTGACTCACATGATGGCTCTTGTGTACAAAAGATATGCTGCCTCATTGTTTTTCTCATCATAGTATACATTCGCCATTCGTATCAGTTCTCCACCGGATCTGAAATACCTTCTGGCAGGTGTTTCATGGTTAACTTGACACGTGCCTTCCGCATATTCAAACAATGCTTTTAGGCGTTCAGATGGCTCGACAATATTCTCAAACAATCTCATCTTCAGTTCACGTCAAGCAGTATTTATCAAACGTCTTCAATGCTTCAGGAATATGAGCTTACGTTGATAGAAAAGGTAGCATTAGGATTGACAGTTGAATCCATTACTCCGTCTGTTGATGGAAGTGCAATAATATCGGATGATGTCAGATCAGCGTGACCCGTTCCTTTCACAATGACTCAAAAGTAAAAGCCAACTGTATGGGAGAACTTATCCAGCTATGGAATATTTTATGGTGACGAAGATATATAGCCTTTAGGAATGATTTAACAGTTGTTTTCGTTCGACTCGATTTTACCTGCCTTTTCTGCCTTCATTGATTTTACTAAAATAAGGAATTGTGCAGGTCGATCATGCAATATTTCTTTCAATGTTGCTCTCGTATATGAAAATACATAGTGAAAACATTGCAATGTTAACCCTATATTGCCTAAATGTCTTTACTGTTTAGTTTCAAATCCATATCACGTCCAAACAGCGCTCCGCTATTAGAAATATGGGTTAAATTGCATTCCTATTTTTTGACATGCTCAACTTCTGCAGCGCACGTGACCAACATCCCTTTCGTTTCTGCTGGCTGGATCACTTGCTGTACTGCCGTGCCTCTTTTTTATTAACAGTGGAGTTAATAGATATCTTAAATAGCTTTACGTGAAATTGAGTAGCATTATGTTAGTTTTGCTAACTCGATCGTTATTTCATCCCGTTTTGTGTCTCATTGAGCACAAGAGTGCGGGTGAAAGTGCTCGGAAGAAAATTCGCATTTCAGTTGAATAATTGATATATGTTAAAGCCACATAATAAAACAATCGTTGAAAATCTGATTAATAAATGTGTGAAAGGGCTTAGTCTAAAGTGTGGTTCTGTGCTTTAGCAAGTGAAAATCCCAGGCAAGTATAACTTTGTCAGTTGCTGTTTGTGCTGTTTTATTAGGTAATTGGAAAGCCTCCAATGGGTATTGACGAGATTGAGAGAGAGAGCAAGAGAGAAAATCAAGTATTTTGTAAAAACAAATGTTTATTTACATCTCAACTTTAAGGACAGTGTAATAATTTGAATTATCCATGAACCGTTTTATAAAAGTCTTTGTTATACTTTTTTTCTATACTTTGACTTGTCTTTTATTTAAAAGCTGCATAATACAGGTTGCCATGAAAAAGAAACTGGATATTTAATGCTCATTTCTGAATGTATCTCCAGATGACTTTTGGTTTTTAGTATCATATCTGTTTAAATGAACATTTTAATTTGCAAATATAGTTCAGCCCTAGTAAATAGCATTATTCACTGAACTCTTAACTTGTCCACAGACAGTACAACTTCTTATGTTCTTTTATCGATCCTTTGGTAAACAGATCACAGCATTATACAACTTGTAACTTAAACTTGAATGTCAAAGTCATTTAATATAGCATAGCCCTGAACCACAGAGACTAAAGTTCTTTGTCCATAAAACTGCTCCTCGGAGAGCCTGAGAAAGAAAAATGAAACATTTCAAAATTTGACCATCTGTTTTGATTTATTATTTCAAAATCATCAACTTTTAATATTTTTAAATGTGAAATTTCAGAAAAAATGTTTTGAATATCATGGGTGCAGGTGAACCATTTTATATAGAATCCCAAGGATTAACAGTTGCAATATTATAAGATTGCTACATTCAAAAAGTATATTCAAATTAATTTTCAATTTCAGATTTTTAATAATGTATCTTTGAATACAGAAATCTGGAGTCAAACGTATATACTTACCAATGATTCAACAAAGAAACCTGTATCATAATAAATTTTCCATTTCTTTCATGAAACTGTCATAAGCATCATCTTTTGTTTGAGCTGCAGGTTGTGGAGCTGCTGGTTTTGGTGCAGGCCCTGTCAACCTCTCCTCTGTACCTTTACCTACAGATAAAAAAATAATTTATGAGTGATATTGTGTTCAGGCAATGGTGACATTCACCTTTTTCCTAACATTTATTGTTTTTCAGCAATGAAAGCCTAATTGAAAAGCTTATTGTTGCAATGGCAAAATTATTGACATTCCAAAATATGATTCAATGCACATATTATCAAATAAATCTTTTGGAACAAACAAAATGAAAGAATAATTTTTTTAAAAACAAAAATGTTTCATGCTGTGCTAATTGCTTTTGTTTAGACAGAGTTTTTTTATTACAAACGAAACTATGATAGAGAACTAAATAAGAGTCATCTGTTTATCACAATCTTCTTACCAATCATCCTTATCTTTCCCTTGGAATCTTTCATCTCTCTCCTAATCTTCAGAGCTGTTGGGGTAAACCGTGTAACATCTCCAATCATGTGTTTAATCTGTGGCTTAGCCTCTATGGTAGCAGTGCTCTTCTGCTCCTCTTCTCTGACTTTCTGTGGGGGTTTCTGAATACTTGGTGGGGCACTGAGAACATTGGGGTTTACAGGGCCTGGACCCAGCCCCTGGGGTGGTAATCCTGGGGGTGGTATGCCTGGAGGAACTCCAGGTGGACGCATTAACCTGGGTGGGGGCATACCTGAACAAAACAAAAATCCACATAAGAGCTCTCAAAAATGTTTACATTAAATCAACATAATTCCATTTAGCTACTGTTTGTTGCTATCAGTATGTTTTGTTTTTAAAGTTATTAGTTAAAACTATTTATTTAAAAGATTGTGTGATGTAATTCCAGAAACATAAAGCTGATGTTCAACATCAATTAAAAAAAAAAATCTTACCTGGTGGTCCAGGCGGTAGTCTTGGGGGTGGTGCCCTGATGTTTGAAGGCATACCAGGTGGGGGACCTGGAGGTAACCCTGGGGGTCTGCCTGGAGGGGGCCCAGGGGGTAGTAACCTTGGGGGTCCACCTGGGGGTCCTCTAAGTGGGGGTGGCCTGAACATCATAGGTGGCATCCCTGGGGGTGGACCTATAAAACATCAGTGAATGAGTTAGGCTGTATCTAAGTTGTCTGTTGATGCAGACTTTGTCATGATTTTTTGAAACTAATACATTATCAATTTAATATTAAATATATGGATCACTTTATGAAGAAACACAACACAACTTCCTTTCACATATCAATGGAGAGATATATCTGGTGAATAAGCTTTTTTTCTTTTTTTATTTATTTTCTTTTATAAAAAATAAACATAAAATAAACTGTTTAGGTCTACTGAGTGACATAACTTGAGACACTTCATTAAGTTACCTGGTGGAAGACCTGGAGGAGGTCCAGGTGGAGCTCCAGGTGGTCCACCAGATGGCGCAGCCGCTGAAGCTGCCCCCTGTGCAGCTGCAGGTGGCACCCCTGGTGGTGGACCTGGCGGGATTTTTACCATCTCTTCAGAAGAAGTGCTTGGCTCTTGACGTTCTGAATGTTCTACAATGACTTCTTCCTCTTCAGTATTGTGCTGAAACAGTCCATGGCAGTTGTTAGAGGGGTTTTTAAATAATCACTCACACTGTACCTTAAGTTTACAAAACTTTGTTTATGTACATGGGTGTCCCCAGGCAGGCAGTTTCAGTAAGAATACAGTTTTTACTATTTTCATTTAAGACTTAAGCGACCATGATGCTGTGTAAATGGATGACAGTTTCACACCATCCACATAATTAATTGTGTTGGTAAAACATCAATCACAAGGGACTAAGTGACAGTCCTTCTGGGAGGGACCCAAAATTTGTGTCTAAAAAGTCACTGTCCTCATTGCAAGTTCAGAAATAAATTCAAAAGTAAAACTTCTTTACGGACTTAGATAGGACTGGTCAAAAGTTAGACAAGGACGAAATACATAAACATATGTATATATACCATGTCCATGACACTGGGCTTCTTGACCACCTCCTCCTCTACTCGGACTTTAGGGACCTCCTGTCCAGCTAACTGTAACATCTTTGCCTGTAGAGGGGACACGGCAACTTTATACATGGTACGAGAGTCTTTTTCTTCTTCATTAGGATCCCTTGTGGCATCATCCATAAAACGTATTTTTCTCTGTTTGGCTGAAAACATAATGTTCATGTGTTAAAGTGGCACTGTAGAGACTGTGAGCATCTTTATATACGATACAATAAATTCTATTTGGAGACATATATATCTGAAATACAAATAGGTTCAATTTGATAATGGTTGTATTACGGACAGATACCAAGTGGAACAAAAAATCCAAATATGCAACTATCAAAGTTATTTTTTTGTTTCAATTGGTGGCCATCCCTCACCATATTCTCTAGTGTGTGTTGTGTGCTTAAATACCTGGAGGTGGCACCACTGGGTGTGGAGGTTCTTCTACATCATCCACTCCTGGCGGCCTCAATGGTTCACTGGTATCCATAGGTTCTGGAACTGAACACATGCTAAATTAACTCACTGGCTTATTTTAAACATTTACATTTTTTTTTCTTTCTGGAACAACACAAATGTAAATAACTGTCACACAATAATAATAATAATAATAATAATCACTGTCCCAGTGGTTGTTCACTGTTTTATTACTAATAACAAGAAAGTAGCCACTGAAGGCCTCATTACCTTGTCCTCTACTTTTGTATGGGTCTGTAGATTCATCTTCACTGTCACTCAGAGGGGGAGGAGGACCAGGAGGGGGCCCTGGGGGATTTCTTTTCCTTCCTGGCTCCAGGGACTTTCCAAGACTGAAATTGGGAAAATGTGAGAAAATGGCCACACACAATGGCTAAAAGCTTCTATAAATTACTTCACTTTGGGTGCATATATCAGCTACAAAACTGACTGACTGATTGACTCGTTTAAAGATTACTTAACTTTCAGTGCATCAATATTTTTTTAAATTGTGTAATTATAAATAAGCACTAAAAATTTACATTAAATAGTATACCCTCCTTACCCATATGCTGTTCCTTTTTTCAGAATCCCCTGGGGAGCTGTTTTGCCCCCAGCTGGCGGTACAGGGATGTCACTGGGTAGTGGTATCTCTGAGGCCACTAGAATCATCATAAATATTTTCATGAACACAGTTTGTGATGTTACCACTGTCCTCAAACCAAAACCATGCAGAATTGGGACTGGTGCAGTAAAACTTTGTTAAAATTGAAGCTGCTAACCACTGTTTCTGCTTTGGACAAGTAGATAATTAGACCAGGGTGACACAAAGGTTTTGTAGGCCAAAAAGTTTTTGCGCCAACTGACGGAACCAAGATTTCATTACAACATAGCATATTTTTCAAAGTTTCAAACAAACAGTTTTCTGCTATCAGGTTTAAGTCAGTTAGTGAAATGTCCATTATCTGGGGAGAAAACTGGTAAAAGATTTTATTGGTTTTCGTGTCTAGAAAAAGTGACCAGCCAGAGACTGCCCATTACTCACCAGGAGTGTCCATAGGTGCTGCTGGAAGAGGAATTTGGTCAAGTTGCACACGTTCTGCATTCTTTACTTGCTCTGGAAAGAGAAATGAAATCAGTCATTTAACAGAGCTCCTTACTTTATAACCTAAAAAGAGATCAAAAGGCATAAATTGATTAACATTTTTCCTTAATTAATAATTTTCAAAATCTGTAGTCTTTTAAGTGAATTAGGCCTGCTGAAATACTTAACAAAATGCTGATAGATGGCAAATGTGTACAATATAATTCTGTTTTAAACATATGAAATACTTACCATAGTAAATTTGCATTTGTAAACGTTTCTTCTCATATTCTTGTAATGTCTTTTTCAGACCTAGAGCATACTCAGGTTCTTCTTTTTCCTTAAAGAAAATTGTGAAATAAAAATCAATTTATCATAAAAAAATCCATTAAGTAATTAAAGAATAGCTTAACCAATGAATCTAGAATAAGTAAAATATAAAAAAAAATTGTTCATCATTTTACCAAATTTTTTATAACTTACAATATTGGGAGGTGAAATAACTGTACTTACATATAATTTCAGCACCCTCTCAAAAGTTTCATACAACTTTTTTCTTTTATCCTTTAACACTTTTTCATTTAGTCTTGGAGGCTGTGTTGGGTCATATTCTGAAATGCGGCATGTTTCATTAGTTTTAAAAAGCCAAGGTGTTTTAAAACCAAATTATGACACTGACCTCTTAAGCACTGTATTCTTTTACCAGATACATGGCACATTGATCATGCTATTACTTCTTAGTATTAAAGTAGATGCTCATGACTAAACATGTAAGGCAGCTTTCAGACATTACATAGAACCTTGGTCACTCTGTTTGATGTCGGCAATGTGATCTCTGGAGTTCTACCCAATAATAACCATGCTGATATATACCCATTTTGTCTATGATTTCCATGTCTTCTAAAATTTTTGTAGGATCTTTTCCTTTCAGCACAGCTTGCCTCACCATCATACGCTGCTTTTTGTTCTACAAAATATTTAAAAGAAATGGTAGTTACAATTTATTTTACACCCCATTTCCATAGATTTTTAGATCGATCTATCCCTGTGGGGAGTCTCACTAGATTACTGTCAGCTTGGCCGGCTTAAGCGTCTGTCCCGCCTACTAAAAGCTGTAAGGGGGTAATTAACTATGGTACCCGCTCGGCTGACTGCAATTTAGCGTGAACCCCCAGGGAGTTAGGTCGATCTAAAACTTAATCTCTAGATCGATCTAAATCTCTGGAAAAGCACCCTTAAATACAAAAATTGTTTAAAATGTAAAATACTAATATGTTAGTTTAAGGGTAGATTATGATGCTTAGTCAAATGTTAATTCTACATGCATTTATAAATCTGTTCATCATTCAACAAGAACTTTCACAAGTAAAAAAAAAAACAATCATAATCATAACAGCAAAGGTTTAATCTTTTTTGTATCAGAACTTTTAAAATTACAACTGACATTAAATGACAAATATACCAAATATGCCAATAATTTGTATGACATGCATTAAACTTGGCTGATTACTAACCTTTTTAAGTTCTTTTTTCCTTGCTTCCTTGCCTATAAAAAAGATGTATGGAATTACATCCATCCAAATATATACTAAATTGATATTTGCACAAAGTTCAAATCTATTATTATTTTTCAAAAATAAAATGAGCAGTCAGCAGAGGTTTATAGACATGTTAGCATTATTCAAAGTTAAAACTACTATATATATCATTTTTCTGGTCTGCTTATGCACATGATACCTCTAAAGTTTACTAAAAGAAATGAGGTTTTATTTGTCAACTTAATCAATATCACATTTTTTAGCTAAGTATCTCAAACGAAATCGCAATGTATTATTTGATGCACTTTTCTATGTAACCTGCATTTAATAAGACAACAGATACACAGTTATTTTACGCCACTCATTTCTGTAAATTCAAACAGAAGCGAAAACTGTCTGTGAATGATTTTGGAAATTCTACATGGTGAATGTGAATGTGACTGAGCAGAGCGATATGTTTAGTCTATGATTTTATACTCACGGGCCTGATCAGTGGGATTCATATATTTCCCACTCTTGGTGGTGTTGATGGATCTTCGCCCCATGTTTTAAAGTTACCCTGTGGCAGCACAGGTCGCTAATAAGTTGAATAACCAAATACACTGATCTCCTCTCTTGCTCTCTATTACTTGTTCGCTTTGGTTAACCAGTCACGTGACCTACTGACTCTGGGTACTGTTTGTAGAGCGACATATTTTACAGCACATAATGTTATATTTCATCACGAAAAATAAGCACAATATCATGGAGCACATTTTTTGTCATTAAAGCGCAAAAAGTTTTAATGAGATCACAAAAAAAGTTAATTTGGAGATCTTTTTGCTGTAGTCGATCGCAAGTACCTCTTCACGTTAGTTAGAAATGAAAGGGAGGATCAACAAGAACAGAAAAAATGTGCTTCTCATCAGTTTAATTGCTACTCATTGTTAATTTTTTTTTGCTTGTGGATAGTGAAATAATAAATCAACAAGATGAATGATTTGGCGGTAAAGCAACTGGAAATCGACATGAAGTTGCAGCGAGTAAGTTCATGAGTAAAAAACGGTGTAAAAGATCTCTTGCTTCCTTAGGCTCCGCCACAGCCTTCACTGCACAGTCAGAGGCAGATGTACCTGTTTAAGTGTTTTGCCTTTTGGCATGACTCATCTCACTGCCTGCTAGTCAGTCTGGGCAGTGTGAGTCCGAAGTGACATAAACGCATCCCATTTATGTAGAATATTTATAAATTGGACCTTTTTCTTCTTTTTATTTTATATTACAAGCTTCTAAATTATTTTTATAGGAAATGAGTAACCTGGCGGTGCTACAGGATTCCCTCCAGAAGAGCCAACAGCTGACTGGTAATATGGTTGGAATACTTACCACATTTGAGAACAGACTGAAGAAGCTGGAAGAAACCATTGTACCTGTGTATCATGAGACAGAGAACTTGCAGCAAAGACATCAAAGTATCCTTTTTGGTAAACTAAGTATATATTCACCCCATGGCCTGGTTCGGGATTGCTTTGATGAAATTTTGGCCAGGTAGATATCTGCTTTCCTAACCAAGTTCTCAATAGTACCGATGTAGAAACTGTGTTTTATGTGTAAAAGGAGCTTTTAAATGATCTTTTATTATTATTTTAAACATTTGTTTCTGTTGTCATTATATAATAACTGATTTAGAAATGTATTGAAGGATTGAAGAGAACCACAAGGATTTTCAAAATATAAAATGTTCTCATCGGTTTTTGCCTGGAGCTTGCGTACAGGAAAGGTACTAGTAGAAGCTAATGCAGGAATTGTGTCCCCCTGGATATGATTTTTAAATCTTGTCAAAATGTGTATTGGTAGTCCAATTGTGATATCCTCATATTCTGAAGTGTGGTATTCCTTATTGGTGCCCAGATATTGAGAAAACAATTGCTGAACTTGATCATGTTATTGGTTTTTATCATGTGGCGAAAGAAGTGGAGAATATCATCAGAGAAAGGTCTGTATAATAATTAGTTTTTTTTTTGTTCTTTTGTTTTGTAGTTGCCTTTGATTCCCCATGTAACATGTTTGGTTATGTAGCATGGGTAGTGTGAACAATATTTCTACCATATGATAAACTGTTTATTCTGTTTTTCAGTCCAACAACACAAAAATTGTGCACAAAAATATAAATTTACTTATGAAATTTGTCTGAAAATTGAGATTACTAATATTTTATCATGATTTATTCATGGTATTTTTTTCCTTGTACAGTCCAAGCAGTGACCTTCATGAATACTTGCTGTGCTTGGAGAAGTTACAGAAAGCTGTAGATTATTTCACAGATCAACATCCAGGAAGCTCTGAACTCTCTGCAGTGGTAAACTTTATTTCTTCATTGTTGATCATGAATTCAAGGAGATTTTTTTCTTTACATTTGTAGTTATTCTTCGAACAGCTTTTCTTTGAGATACGGTGATGAATATCAGTTACTTATAGCTTTTACCAGTGGTGTGTGGTGTTTGCTACAACCAACATGGTGGTATCAGGTGTTACTGTTTATTTGTAATATTATTTGTAAGTACATGCATAAATGCACTGTTTTATTTTACAGACCATGTTATTTGACCAAGGACGACAGACTCTGGAAACAGAATTTCGTGATCTTCTGTTGAGAAACAGTAAACCAACTCCATCAGCTCAGCTTATTGATATCCTGGCTCAGTATGAAGGTGTGTTATAACTTTGGTATAAAGATTAGTGTTCCTCACATTTGAACTCCCGTTGGATCAGTCTTATCAATAAGGTTGATTTACAAGAAAATTTTAAAAAATTCTTGACAAGACAAGAACCTCAAGGTTGCTACGTCAGGTATTAGACAAACCAGAGGCATCAGTTGAAATCTCCCTTGAACATATTTAGATAAAATGCATGGTAGTTGCTTAAAATTTCCAAAGACCTCATTTTAGTAAATATCTTACTTTAATTTTCAAGATTTATCTTTTGAGTGTACTTAGTGACACGAAGCTAAGTACATTGTCAATGGTTTTGAAAAAAAAAAATCAAGTAATGTGACAAAGAAATTTATTTATGGTACTGCCAACCCAGAGTTTGCAACTCTTAACAAATGCATTTTGCATAAGTATTCTAGAAACTTCTTAATGTGGACTGTCATGTTTTTATATATAATTCTATTGATAATAGCATGTTAAACAACATGATCCATTTTGAGCACTTGACTGTTTTCACCTTGGTGCACATAATGAATTGTTAGGTTGTAACCTTTTAATAGATCAATATGTTAAGCATTCTTACATAATGACATGCCCCAGATGTCTACTTGATTAGATGGCAATTAAAGTTGGTACTCAGTTTACCTAGGGTTAAGTTATTTCAATTAAGATCTTGATGTAATGTATTTTCATTGTTTTTTGTGTAAAGATGGTAAAAAGTTTTTAAAATTTTAAGAGACCAAACAGTATAGACATTGAATTTAAATCACCCCCCCCCCCACACACACACAATTGCTCTAAAAGTAGATATTCCAGTTTTAGTTTGCTTTTGAAATGTCATTTTCTGTCATTTTTGTTGCAAATATTCATCTATATATCTATTTAATTCTGTAAACTTTGATATCATTTTAACCATTTCTGTGTTATATATTTCTTAAGTAAACAAATAATCAGATCTAAAGGTCTCTTTTCTTTACAAAATATTATATCAATACCATCTAAATAATTCTTCTTTCATATTTAGGTGATGGGAAGCAAATTAGGTCTCTTTAGATAAAATGACATTTTTTGCCATATATGTCAAAGGTTTTCTGATTATCTCTGCAGAGAGCCCAGAGGAGGAATCCCCACATATTGAGCATTTGGAGAAGAGCATAGTTCATGATCTGGCTGAGATTTCCAAATGGTTGGCTGCCAACAGCTCCTCAGCAGACTTTGCAAATGTCTATGCTACAGTTCGCTGTAATACTCTGATCAAGGCTTTGCAAGGGTAAGACTGGGAGTGTGTGTGTGTGTGTGTGTGTGTGTGTGTGTGTGTGTGTGTGTGTGTGTGTGTGTGTGTGTGTGTGTGTGTGTGTGTGTGTGTGTTGTGAGAGAGAGAGAGAGAGATCGAGATCAAGACAATCTAAACTAAAAGCTTTTTATGTTTTATCCTTGAATATATAATACTTTAGTATTGGAACCCTTTCGTCTCTAAAACAGGTCATTACAGATTTAATTAACCATATTTGCCAACTTAAAGGAGAATTTCATTTTGAGTAGATCCATTGTATAGTATAGTACAGCAAACTATTTTATTTAGACTTAGAATTCTGTCACAACAAAATCTGTGGTATATACATTATTCCTCCATGTTATAAATACTCCCATGTTATAATCTTAACAGTGCTATGAAATGTTAAATTACATATTTATGGACAGTAAATGTCACAGATGTAGCATGTATCATATTGACAGTAAAATCACAAGGCAAATAAAAATTACAGTTATTAACACCAGGGAAATTGTCCTCCAACTGACTTAAGCCAATCTTATTATTGTAAATGGCTCAAAAATTAGGGCATAGCATTTTGCATAAATAACCTATGAGATTTGACAGAAATAATTTTAAAGTCCATAGACATAAATGGTGAAATAATGTGTTCAGGGGTATTTTTGTGTTGTGAGTTTGGGTGTGTGAATGTAATGAAAACCTGCAAATGTCTGCAGAGTAATAGCCATAGAAAAGCAAAAATAATGACCTACTGCTCTGTACATCTAAAACCAGGTTATTAGGTTCACATTTAATGGCTGCCATGTGTCACCAGGTTTCTCTATTAAATTTGAGTAGGAAATACCTTTAAATGTTAAATTATATTGAAGTTCAGCTGTTGCCAGTGACATGTGCTAGTGGGTCAATGAAAGGATGCAGTGTTTCCTCATACCTAGTGAAATTTAGTCTTTGAGATAACCTGATTCTGTAAGTGGAATAGAGAATATGAGAAATACAGTTTTTACAGTTTACAGTGTTTCGAAGTTTTTGAAAGCATATTTTTAGTTTTTAACAATGCTTATTCAATGTTGCTGAAATTTTGCAAAACAGGACAACATTGTGTTCTTCGTTTTCCTGGTCAGTATGTATCAGCTTCTATTTAATTTAAATGTCTGTTTATCTTGAAATATGTTATAATTGATATTTTCAGCCTGAGAGAACACCAGAAAGCATTGGCTGGAGGTGGAGGAGGGACAGCAACTCTTGGCCCTGGGCTCTCCCCAGCACTGGTATGTATACCTTTACTCCTGAGGTCTAGGTAGAAGAATTACAAGCTTCATATTTACTACTCTTATGCATCAGGGATGAGATTTTTCTGACTATCGATGGATTTCCAACTTTTTTGGGAATCAAAAATTGTATTGGCCTAGGTGACCCGCATGGACCCATGCCATAATATCTGAATTTTTCACCAGTGCATGCATGCATCTTTAAGGTTTTAATATCGAAGAAAATGCTGAAGATTTATTTCTGTAAATCATGATAATGTAATTTTTGTCTTTTTAATTTTTTATACAGTATAGACATGTCAAGAGATTATTAACGTTAATGGTGCATTGTATATTTTATCAGATTTCCTTTTAAATGGAAAGTATTTACTAATGCTAACTGAAAATGAAACACCCCTGCAAGGTGAAAGGACCACTGTATTTAAGACACGGTTTTA